TTTCATTGTTACAAATTGAACATAATTAAAGCATAGTGATTAATCACAAAAACAATATGTAATTATATGTGTTTTCCGATGGTCTTAGGCGACCCCTGTGAAAGGGTCGTTCAACCCCCAAAGGGGTCGCGACCCACAGGTTGAGAACCGCTGCAATATGTACTTATATATGTATTTTCCGATGGTCTTAGGCGATCCCTGTGAAAGGGTCGTTCGACCCCCAAAAGGGTTGCGACCCACAGGTTGGTGACCCACAGGTTGAGAACCGCTGGCTTAAGGTTTGGCAGAAGGAGGTCTGTTACCCCAACTCACCTCCTCAAAATGTGGACAGAGTAATGCTGGCCACAGTGCTCAAGGGTGCGCCTCGAGAAAAGGGAGGCGTTGAGGGAGGGTGGAGGTGGGGAGAACCTCTGGCTCATTCATCAGAGGAGTGCTTCAGTCTCTCCCTCTACCAGGACCCTGGCATAATGTACCAGAGAAATCAATTATGCTATAGTCACAGGTGGTTAGGAGGGGAGTTGGTAGAGGAGTTACAGGTGTTAGGACCCCCACAGACCCCCCAAAAATAAATCTCCAACTAATTTAAATCTTACCATTAGCAATATGTTTATTTCTGTTTGTTTTAGTTTCCTAGGGCTCCCATACTAAGCAATACAAATGTGGTGGCTAACGGCAGATGATGTTTAGTCTCTCAATCCTGGAAGCCCTGAAGTCTGACACCCAGGGTCAGCAAGGCCACGCTCCCTCCAGGAGCTCCGAAGCAGGGGTCCTTCCTGGCCCCTTCCAGCTTCTGGTGGCTCTGGGAGTTCCTTGGCTTATGATGGCCTAACTCCAGTCTCAGCCTCCGTCTTCACATGACCTCCTCTGTAGCTCTGAGTGTCCTTTTGTCTCTTACAGAGATACTCGTGTTGGACTTAGGGTGCACCCTGATCTCAGCTGCATTTTTTAAAATATATTTTTATTGATTTCAGAGAGAAAGGGAGAGGAAGAGAGAGATAGAAACATCAATGATGACAGAGAACCATTGATTGGCTGCCTCCTGCACACCCCACACTGGGGATGGAGCCCACAACTGGGGCATATACCCTGACCAGGAATCGAACCATGACCTCCTGGTTCATAGGTCGACACTCAACCACTGAGCCATGCCAGCCGGGCTCAGCTGTATTTTTAATTTTTTGAGGAATTGCCATACTGCTTTCCATAGAGGCTGTACTAATTTACATTCCCAGCAACAGTACACGAGGGTTCCCTTTTCTCCACATGCCCACCATCACTTACTTGTCAATTTATTGAGGATGGCCATTCTGACAGGTGTGAGGTGATATCTCATTGTGGTTTCCATTTGCATTTCTCTGATGATTAGTGACGTGGAGCATCTTTTCATGTCTGTTGGCTGTCTGTATGTCCTCTTTGAAAACACTGTCTACCCAGGCCCATTTTTTAATTGGATTGTTTGGGGGGGGAGGGGCGGTTGATGTTAAGTTGTATGAATTTCTTATATATTTTGGATATCAACCCCTTAAAAGATACAACATTTGTGAATATCGTCCCATGCAGCAGGTGACCTATTGCCGCTTTTATGTGGCTGTTTCTCTTCCTCGATTTCAGGTCTATGAAACAGTGGGGCACAGTGGCACCACCTTGCTAGCAGAAGTGTTTCTGCCTATTCCTGAAACCACCATTGTCACCGGGAGGGCTCCCATCGAAGAAGTGGAGTTCAGCAGTAACCAGCATGTGGCCCTGGACCACGAGGGAGTTGGAAGTGGTATGGACAGTGGATTATACTCAGGGGCTCACAGTTCTACTGTCAGATGTGAACGTATCTTTCTTTTTTTTTTCATTTCCCGGTCAACCCAATAATTCTAAAATTGTTATCAGAAATTCAAATGGAAACAATAATTACACACAACTTTTTGCAAAGTTGTTTTTGATATGCTCCTGGTGGCCAGTAAATTCACACAGTTCTGCAAGTATAAAGCAGTTTGGCAGTGGGAATTAAGGGCGGTTAGAATGCCTTTGATACCTTAATTCTACTTCTAGGAATCTTTTCGAAGAAAATAATTTGAAATGAGGACAAAGTTTTGTGCATTAAAAAAAATGTACATTGTGGTATTATTTTAAAGCTGTGAAGTTTGAAATAACTTACAAGCCTATAATAGAGAGATTATTAATTAATATTCTCTCTCATCTTTTCCTACACTTCTGGTTAGATAAATGATGGACCAATTCACTCTTTCCACTATGTTTCTTACCCTTGATATTTTTTTTCTTTCACTGGTACATTCTGTGTGATTTCTTTATATCTGTCTTCTGAGTCATGAATTCACACTTTGGCTGTGCCTAATCAATGCAACTCATTGCATTTCTCATTTCAATTCTTGTAGTATTTTTTCACCTCCAGATATTCTATCTAGTTTTTTTCCCAATAAGTCTGGTTAGGTGTGATAATTTTTTGTCCTTTTTTTAGACTCGGTCATTTTTTTATTCATTAATTGCTTTATTTTTTAAACATATTAAAATATTTTTAATATTCTGTATCTATCATTCTAATAGTTGGTCTCATTCTGTTGCCATTTGTTAAAGGTGTTTGTTTTTTTAAGATATATTTATATTAATTTCAGAGAGGGAGAGAGAAACATCAATGATGAGAGAGAATCATTGATTGGCTGCCTTTTGCACGCCCCCCACTGGGGATCTAGCCTGCAACCCAGGCATGTGCCCCTGACGGGAATTGAACCTGGGACCCTTCCGTCCACAGGCCGACGGCTCCATCCACTAAGCCAAACCGGCTAGGGCTCAAGGTGTTTTTTTATTGTGAGGTCACAGCTGGAGATCTGCAAGAACTCCAAGGCCCAAACTCACTCAGTGTCTAAAAGCCCGAAGATGGAGGTTTTAGTCCTGGCTCTGATACTGAGAAGCCCTGTGACCCTAGCAGTCACATAACCTCTTTGAATATCATCTTTCTCATTCATAAAGTAGATCTAATACTACCCCCTTTATAGGCTGATAGGGTTCTTTTGAAGTCTTGGAAAAACACAGACACGCTTTTACAGAGTTTCGTGTTAATAACATCAATTGGAAATCCCGCGTGTGAAGTTGCTCTATTTAGTGCTTGAAAATCTTTTCTTCCTCTGGTTGATGGAACATACTGCCCAGACACTTCTTATCATTCATTTCTGTTCAGTGGGGGCCAAATCAGGGAGACCTTACTGGGACCACAGGGCTTAGTAAGAGCGAACGTTTGCTGAGTGGTCACCGTTTCCCAGGCACTTGCGCTTTGCCAGGGTGACCTCACTTAACCCCGCTATCCTTCACCCCCGGCCTCTTACACTCCCACCTCAGGCTTCTTACACTTGGTCCTTCTGCCAAGAAATGCTCTTTCCCAAGATTTCTACGTCTCACCAGCTCAGCTTCTTCAGGCCTTTACTCCAAAGTCGCCTCTCCTGAAGCCTCCCCTGGCCAACCATCTGAAAACTCACCCCTGCCCACCCCCAAACACATACTTTCTCTATACCTTCCCTAATATATGCTTCACTTTTGTACGTATCACTCTGTAACATACTGTGCATTGCATTTAACTTATTGCCCGTCTTTCCTACTCAAATGTACTCCAAAGTCGCCTCTCCTGGAGCCTCCCCTGGCCAACCATCTGAAAGCTCAACCCCTGCCCACCCCCAAACACATATTTTCTCTATACCTTCCCTAATATATGCTTCACTTTTGCACGTACCACTCTGTAACATACTGTGCATTGCACTTAACTTATTGCCCGTCTTTCCTACTCAAATATAAACGGCCTGATATCAGGGATTCTTGTCAGTTTGGTTTCTTTACTGTTGTATTCGGTGCCTAGAGTAGCGCCTGGCCCGAGGTAGGAGCTCAAGTAAGTGTCTTCGGAGAGAATGAGTAAATGAATGTCTTCGCAACAACCCTTGGAAGGAGATGCTGTTCTTATTCTTATTTTATACATGAAGAGGTTAAGTCATTTGTCTACGGTCACACAGCTGCTGAGTGTCAGAACCAGAATGTGCACACAGATGGCCCCACTCCGGGTGCATCATTCATTACAACGTCTGCACTCTGTTGTCAGAGACACAGCCACGCGGCGATTCTGAGCATCGTCGCCTGTCACCTGAAGAAGTTCAGTGATATTGAATTACGTGTTCCACCCCCACCGCCCTCACCCTCTCCTTTCACTGTCTACTGCCTGCTTTCTCACCAGGACTGGGCTCGCGCCCTCGTTCTAAACAATATCTTGTCTGATGTGGTGTTTCCCTAGGCGTGCCCTTGTCATTTGAAGCTGACGGCAGTAATCAGCTGATCCTGATGACCTCGGGGAAAGTGTCCCACAGTGTGGCCTGGGCCGTTGGAGAGAATGGGACACCTTTAATCCCTCCACTGTCACAGCAGAACACTGGATTCAGGAGGTAACGTGTGGCTGGTTTATCCATCTGTCTGTCACTGGACATTTAGATTGTTTTCATACTTAGCCTAATATGCAAAGTGTCCCCTCAGGAGTTCAACCAACCGGGACTTCGATCGTTTACTATGATGTGCGCTTAACACCAGGGGCCAGTGCAGAACGAAGGAAGACCCCGGCTGGCAGCCGGCAGCTGGGGGAAGGGAGGCCCCAGCCAGTGGCTGGCAGCTGCTAGGGACCCTACCAGTGCACTAATTTCATGCACTGGGCCTCTAGTTATAAATAATACTGCAGTGAGTGGGGGCGGGGGGGGGGGGGGCAGGTGTGCAGGTACTTCTTAGAGATAGTGATTTCATTTTCTTCAGCTATATACCCAGAAGTGGGATTGCTGGATCACATGGTAGTTCTACTTTTAATTTCCTGAGGACTTTCCACACTATTTCCCACGATGGCTGCACCAGTTTACATTCCTATCAATGTTTCTTCCCTTATTGGTAACAGTCATCCTAATAGATGTGAGGTGATATCTTACTGTGGTTTTGATTTGCATCTCCCTGATAATTAGTGATGGTGAGTACTCTTTCATGTACCTGCCAGCCGTTTGAATATCTTCTTTGGAAAAAATATCTATTTAGTTTCTTTGTCCATTTTGTTATTATTTGGGGTTTTTTACTACTGAGTTGTATGAGTTTCTTATATATTTTGGATACTAACCCCTTATCAGATGTGTGGTTTGCAAATATTTCCTCCCACCACTCATACTTACATACTGCCTTATAACATATTTAATGACAATCTTCAAGTAAAGAAAAGTGGCAGAAGTCTGTGCTAATTATCAGACTTCCTGTGGTGCAGAATAGCAGCGTCCTAAGCCATGAGTCCTGGGGTTTTGTGGTCCTGATGCAAACTGCTCTGTGGTCAAGTTAAGCCCACCTCACGGAATGAACTTTTTTTCCAGCGCTTTGAAAAGAGCGGATGCCATCTCATCCATTGGCACCTCAGGACTGACGGACATGAAAAAGTTGGCCAAGTGGGCAGCAGAGTCCAAGCTGGATCCGAATGACCCCAACAATGCCCCTCTGATGCAGCTGATCTCGGTAAAGTGGCAGGAGAGCCGTGCACCACGCTGTGTCTGGATTTGGTGTGAGAGGAATAGAAAGGGCTTGGCCCTTCTCACACACTGGCTCTCATACCGTGTTCTCTGTGGTGGTGCTTAAGACCGTAAATGCTGAGAGAATGGCAAGTTAAAATTCCAGCTCTGGCCTGGCTGGTGTGGCTCAGTGGTTGAGCGTTAACCTGTGAAGGAGGAGGTCACAGTTCGATTCCAGGTCAGGGCACATGCCCAGTTTGCGGTCTCAGTCCCCAGGAGGGAGTGTGCAGGAAGCAGTCAATCCATAATTCTCTCTCATCATTGATGTTTCTCTCTCTCTCTCCCTCTCTCTCCTTTCCTCTCTGAAATCAATAAAATTTATTAAAAAATAAATAAATTCCAGCTCTGCACCCACTTGGCTATGCGATCCAGGCCGCACTCATGTGTCTGAGCCCTGAGATGCCCTCATGGTGCTATGCTGTCAGGATCAATCAGCTGCCAGGTATCAATACTTTGCTAGGCACACAATGGGTGTGCAGTAAATATTAGCTGCTATTGATACTCTGACCTCAAACCTCTGTAAAACCCCTAAAGAAAGTTTTGATTTTCCCCTTAGTTCCTTGCTCAAGGTCACACAGCTAGTGAGGAATCAGATCCAAGTTCATCTGGTTTCAGAGCTCGTGCCCTTCCCATCCCACCTTGATGGACTGATGGGCCATTTTAAGAAGCAGTGGTTTTGTTTGTATTCTTGTGTTAAGATTAATTTGATTATTATTTAGGTTTCATTTTAAGTATTTATGGGATAAACTGCTTGTATCTATCATAACATTCAGAATTCTTCTTCAGTGAATTTATAAATAAAATGGGTCATTAGTCAGTAAATGATTTTTCTTGGTATCAGATATAAATGTTTTTACTTGCAAGATCATAATTCTCACAAAAACATCATAAGTGAGTAGATGATCCAGAAAGTGATGATAGCAACACATCCTATGATCATGTTTATGAGTATAAGTGGATCAGTAGGGTAACTATAACTAAGATGAAAATTTTCATTTCTGTCCTGATATTTCTAAGTCCCAAAGCAAGCTTGTGACTTTTGTCTTTATAAACTCTCCTTGCAACATGATACTTTTAGTGTGGATATGAGAAGTGTTAGAGAGAACGGATCATATTACCTAAAGGGTCGTCTATTCCATGTAAACTTTCCAAATCACGGTTTGATTACAATCTTTAAATCAGAAGTAATACAGGACACCTGTCACCTTCATTTTCCCTTTATAACTATTTGCCTTCAGAAGCACAAACACAGGGATGCCTTCCTGACTGGTCTCTTCAAGAACCAATATTTGCACGGCAGGGTCACCTCCCCATCACAAAGCCCAGCACACCCTGCGCTTGGCTCTCCTTCTGCCCCAGAGGAGGTCACAGCTGGCAAAGGCCCCCAGCAGAGGGGCTCGGGACACCCGGGCAGCATCAGCCCACACCTGCTCAGTCTGCAGAGGTACTGAAGCCAGCTTTCTGTGCCACTTACAGACACATGGGAGGTCGGCGCCCAGATCCCTCCCTGATTCACTCCCCACAATGATCAAGGTTCAGGGACAGGAGGGCCTGGCCCTGGAGCTAAGCGAAGGTGATCAACTGACTCTGTGCTTGTATCTACGTATGGGCATAAGACTAGTAAAAAGTTGAAAAATAATTTAAAACATGAGGAGGCTAAAGGGGGTCAAATATATGGTGATGCAGGAAGACTAGACTGTGGGTGGTGAACACACAGTGCAGTATAGTACAAATAATGAATTATAGAATTGTACACTTGAAACCTACATAATGATATTAACCAATGTCACCCCCATAAATTTAATTAAAAATATGTAGATATTTAAAACACATATATATGATTTTAAATACACTATGCATATGAGTAACCTTATTTGCAGTTGGCACTTAGTAATACAATTATTTAAAATCTCTCATGTTCAGTCTGTATATTTTCATAACATCTATTAGGGGAACGTACATACCAAAAATGAACCTTATAATTTCTATTTCTTTGGGAAAGTATTTGTGGTATTTTTTATAGCTACTAAGTGATTTAATAGCATCTTCCTTATTACCATCACGTTGTTTTAATATATATTTTTTATTGAATTCAGAGAGGAAGGGAGAGGGAGAGAGAGACAGAAACATCAGTGATGAGAGAGAATCATTGATGGGCTGCCTCCCGCACGCCCCCCACTGGGAACCGAGCCCACAACCTAGGCATGTGCCCCTGACCGGAATCGAACCCAGGACCCTCCAGTCCGCAGGCCTACGCTCTATCCATGGAGCCACACCAGCCAGGGCTGCCATCGATCATTGATGGGCTGCCTCCCGCACGCCCCCCACTGGGAACCGAGCCCACAAACCAGGCATGTGCCCTTGAATGGAATCGAACCTGGGACCCTCCAGTCCACAGGCCGACTCTCTATCCACGGAGCCACACCAGCCAGGGCTGCAATCACATTTTAATGTGCTTTGTCTTTAAGTGAAAGGCAGGACATATCCAGTCTCGCTGTCTGCGTAAACCAGTTAAGCTTCCATTCCCAAACACTCAGTGCCGGCTTTCCTTGGCTGAAACTCGCCCATTGTCTGGAATTTTGCATTCTCTGTTCTTCACAGGTTGCTACCAGTGGCGAATCCTACGTCCCCGAATTCTTTCGCCTGGAACAGCTGCAGCGGGAATTTAACTTCGTTTCAGATGAGGAACTGAATAGAACCAAACGATTCAGGCTCCTGTGTCTCAGAAGCCAAGAGGTGCCAGAATTCCGAAATTATAAGCCAATCCCAGCATATGACCGAGAAATCATGGAAAAGGTATTCCAGGTAAGAAATGGCTGTAATAAAATATTGCTGTGCTACATGGTAAACCTTTCTCCAGGAATCTTGCTGTTGACATGTTCTCAGTAGCAATGCCGGTTTCTCTTTTGCAGCACTTTATATAATCTTTCCATTATCTTTCTTGAATCCAATGTTTAAATTAACTCTTCTCTCAATACAGTGAATGACATAAACTAAGAAAAATTAGAATTGTAGGGTTGAGAAATATCTTACATGTTAATGTGGCAAATTATCTTGCCTTAGTCAGGAGTTCAAGGCCATTGTAATCCAACCGGTTAAGCACAAGGCCCAGTGGTGAGCACTGTGGGGAAACAGATAGTTAGGATTAGAGCAGCCTTGGGGTGGGAGGGGCACAAAGAAAGTGGGGAGCAGGGCTGGCATCCTGGGCAAGGGTGGCAGAATGCACAGAGTGGGGGGGTGGGTAGCAGAAGTCATCTGAGAGCCATCGGGGTGGGACCTTTGAGGGCTCACAGGTTGTAATCCTGTGTAAGTGGGGCAGGCCTGTATAGATGGGGCAGGCCAATGAATCCAGACAGGGGAGGTTGTATTTGATGAGGTAAATGGAGAGCCATTAGAAACTGGTACCAGTAGGACTTTTCATGCAGAAGCTGTTCTGGGAGAATATTTTCAGTTATTTGGTTCTTGTCTGCAGTGTCTGGACTTGTAATTGTGATAAAAACCCAACTCGAACCCGGCCAGCTCAGTGGTTGAGCGTTGACCTCTGAACCTGGAGGTCACGGTTTGATTCCTGGTCAGGGCACAGTGTGGGGCATGCAGGAGGGCAGCCAATCCATGATTCTCTCTCATCATTGATGTTTCTATCTCTCTCTCCCTCTCCCTTCCTCTCTGGAATCAATAAAAATATATTTTAAAAAAAGCAACTTGAACTAGCTCAGGCTTCAAGGGGAGTTTACTGAAAGATGAAATCCCAAATGGGGCTAAATATCTAAAGCTGTGTGAATGGCAGGAGTTTATCTGTGCCTTGATGATGCCCAGATGCAGGTCCTGAATGCCACCAGGGCCCCTCCCCGTCCTGCCTGGGCTTCCCTTGCTATGGTTGCTTCACTTCCTCCCATTGTGGATGGACTCCCTCTGCTTGGACACAGGGTCCCCTTCATTCAAGTTCACATCTACCAATTTCAGCCAGAAGGGAGAGGTGTGTCCTCTTGCCCCAAGTCTAAAAATCTTGAGACCAGCTTGAGTTACACAGTGCGGGGTAGAGGCCCCTGAGCGTACAATGTGACCAGGAGAGGACTGAAGGAGACATGGCGGCTCCCTGAGCCCACGTGGAATTTTATTGGTGGAAGAGAAAATGCAGCAGCCTAGGCAGAAGTACCCACTCCCAGTTGGTGACCAAGTTGGCTGCACGCAGATGCTATTTGCTGCTTTGTAATTGCTTTACTTAAGTTAGAAAAAGACAAAAATTAGCAGAAGGGCCCTGTTTGGTGTTTCTAGTTAGAGCATGGGCCTTCGCCCCTAAGGGTTTGATTCCCGGGGCCTGGGTGGCAGGTTCAATCCCTGGCAACCACTCAATGTGTCTCTCATATTGATGTTCGTTTCTTTTTCTCTCTGTCCCCCCGCCCCCTTCTACTCTCTCTAAGAAAAAGAAAAAAAAAGAAAAAAAAAATATCCTCAGGTGAGGATTAACAGCAACAACAATAAAATACTAAGCAGAGGCTTTGGCAAAGTTGCTGGGTGAGCTTAGTGTCTTGAACCACAGCCACTGTTACTGTGTGGCCTCTAATTACAGGGTGCTCTTCTACTTCTAAGGCATCAACCAACTGTCTCCGAATTCTGGCTCCCACATCAAAGGCTAATTCTGAACCAAACGTTCAGAGGAAGGCAGAAGAAACAATTAGAACCATCATTTATGAACTTGAACCACACGTGCTAAATTCTCTAATCGCAGGAGGGCATGAGAAAGGACTAGTAGTTTAAAATCATAAAATTATTCCTTTTTAACCTGTAGGACTATGAGAAGCGGTTACGAGACAGGAATGTCATTGAGACCAAGGGCCACATAGATAGCCACCGGGCGGTAGTAGCCAAGTACCTCCAGCAGGTAAGGAAACCATTGTGAACGGCCCTTACAGGGAAATGGCCAGCACCCTGAGATG